AGAGGAGGAGGAGGGGCAGGTAAGAAGGCTTATTATAGTGAAGATGTATTTATCGCTCACAGAAAGCACGGGTTAGACCTATTGTAAGGAATGGATGGCAAAAAAAACAAAATAAATGCGGCTTTTGCTTTTCCTTGTTGCATGATACCCACTTCTAACTTTAAGTCACGAGTTGTTTGGTGGAAAAAAACTATTTTTTTACCCTTTACCAGCTATAACCTAATTTCAGTCATTTTTTGGAAGAAAGGCAGAAGACAGCTGTTTAAGGTTTGAAAAAGGACTCCTTCCGATATATCAACCATTCGGTGCAACTGTTTTTTTTTATGTAATTCTCCAGTTCATGTACACATTCATCTTAGAAATTTAACGTACCGCATCGACTTTTATCGCAACTAACTAAGCATTTTAAGATCGGGCTAAACTAAGTATACAAAAACTGGCAGATGTTATTTCCCAGAGCTGTGCGTTACCGTTGCAAATGAACTGAGTTGACGTAAAAGCAGCTGTCCGAGGACACTTACCCGTAACAGAAAAATCCGGATGTGGGTTAATTTTAGGCAGGTAGGAGGTTTCGCGGGAAGCACGGAGTTGATTGTTTGTGCGGAGACTGACGTGAATGAGCAGTTTCTTCAAATGCAGGGGCTTCGAAATTCCCAAATCCTACAAAATGCCAAGAAGGGTAGATGAGAGTACAAGGAAGAATACGTAAGCTGCGCCAACTTCCTACTGTGTTTTAACATCGGTCATATTGGTGAGCGTCTTAGGTCTGACGGCTGACTTTGGACCCCTATGCTTTTCAGTATAATAAGTCAACTTACATCGGACTTCACAGTGTTCTACAAAGACATTACCACTAGGCATGCTAGGCTGTTCGCTTAGAAGAACAGTCAAACGTCAAAAAACCAGAGCAATTTTAAAGTGTAGGGAAACCAGAAACTGATTAAATCCCTAAATCCAGTTCAGTGGAAAACAATGTTGACGTTACATCGATATTCAGCATGTCCCTTAAACCACTGTGTATAATGAGCGGCTAGGGAGACTCACTAGACAGAAGGACTCCAACGCAGCAGACGACCAAAAAGCTGCATTCGTGGACATGGACAGGACTAAGGAGTAGCGGGGGCTAGGCGAGGTGGTTTTGGCACGTTTCCCGTCGTCGGTCTCACGAGCTTAGATATGCTGCCCTCGATCCGGCGTCGCAGCCAACCTGGAGGCGTCAAAGAAGAGGACAACTGAAGACCTGGCTCGACACCGTCCGTCAAGACATGCAAGCGGTTGTTGGGCCTTCTATCTTCGATCTCCATCGCTGGAGAAGAGACTGGGTGGAGGTCTCCAGATGCACTGCCGCTAATCGTCACACATGCAGAGGTACCGCCCGTGACACCATTGACTAGCTCAAGCATGATCACAGCCGTAACAACTACAAGTAAGGGAGCTAGACGGGGGAGATAATTCCTTAATTTGTAAGGTGGCGTGAGACGTCTGACTCCCCGAATGTCTTGTTTTACGTCGGTGGCCCCAACATTTACAACAAGTAGGAATCTGCTCTCTCTCTCGCATACCGACTCACCTGTTCTAATTTCTTAGTGGTTGCGGTGATGATATCGGCACCGGTGCGAACCCACGTACGTGCCGCAGCCGCACAATATCCGAGACCCAATTGGCTGAGAAAATCACACACCGAAGCCAGCGGCCACTCCTCGAAATTGGTTGCAGTGGGCCTACAAAGGGGCAGAAATAAACACAGACATTAGGCTCAGCGGATAGTTCGTGATGGGCAGTAACGCCAAGCAGCTGAAAGTCATAAAACAGGCCCTCAGAAGATCCTGGCAGAGGTCAAAAAGAGCAATTCTGCAAAAAAGGTTGGTTCCGTGAGATTTGTAAAAGCCTGTGATGATAAGGTCAACAAAAGAGATAAAACATTGGCGGATCCTGAGGTCGAAACAACACAGAGCAGAAGGGTTTCGGATGAAGTAGTGAGGGATTTGTGCATTAAAGATGACTTGTGTGGCCGCCCACAATGCATGTGTCTTTCTGCAGTCTTGTTTCGCAGTTCTTTCCGTCGGAATTGCTTATATGACACCTCGATGGGGCACAGGAAATAGGAACGCCCCTCGTGACCCTGAGGTGAATTCTGGGAAGTGTACCTATTTCCATATCCTAGCTGTAGCAGTAAATTTAACACAAACGCAAACTGTTCACCTAAACCTTTATCTTAACTCAGCCTAACCTTAAAATTAGCCCTCATCTCCCTAGATTTTAGTGCAAAGCCGTCTGCATTAAGAGTAGATCCTGTTCCCATGTCCTGCTGGGGGTGGGGATGGGGGAGCGTATAAGAATCCTTGCCGTTTTCTTAAGTAACTTTGCACGCATAATGAAAACCACCCGTCATGCTGGTCTTTTATACAAAGAAGAAGAATTAAAAGAAGAAACGTTATTTCACAGTTTGCAGAAAACTGCAGTTTCTATTGGTCCCTGCTGCATTCACGTTTTTTACATCCTTCCTTCCTTTAGGAATAGACACAAGCCTAAAATGTGATTTCAGCAGCGACCGAATTCGTGCTTTGTGAAGCAATTATGGATTATGCTGACTTGCATGGCCGTCTAAACAAGTCACGGGAACAGGATCAGCCCACACTGTATGCGGCTTTGCATCGAAATCCGAGGAAATTAGGTTGATGCTTAAGGTGAGGGTTAGGGATAGGTTTAGGGTAAGCTTTAAGGTTGGGGTTGGGCTCATGAGTATGCTAAGAGTTAAGGACTGGATTCGTATTAACTGTAGGATTTAGGTTTAAAGCGGCGTTAGAATTAAGATTTAGGTCACGGGTTAGTTTTATTTTACGGTACACTAAACAGAGCCATGGACTTTCATTCCGCCTACCAAGCGCTCCGCAAAAGGCTAACATCAGCTCAGAAGGGAGCAATAAGTCGAGCGGAGAGAGATAAGTAGGGCCGACAGACGGCAGCCGCGAGCAAAGGGGTGGAAACACTCACGAGACACAAAAACGACATGACACCGCTCAAGAAGACGCGAGCAATTCAAACAGCCACGAAAATCGATCGGTGCAAT